ATGATGTTTCTGTTACTGTATGTCAACCAATAAATTACGTCACGTACCAGCTGTGTTCAAACTTTATTCAAGACAAGAATTGGGTGTATAAACAGTTACATGATGTAACAGAAACATCAGGTTATTGTTGTATAGTTAGAGCAAGGATCATGATGTTTCTGTTACATGGTTATTGTTGTATAGTAAGAGCAAGGATCATGATGTTTCTGTTACATGTACCTGTTTATACACCCAATTCTTGTCTTGAATAAAGTTTGAACACAGCTGGTACGTGACGTAATTTATTGGTTGACATACAGTGAAACGTTGAGACTGCAGCCACTCAACCCGAAAAGGAGCTTACGTGATTTTTTCTTGATAACAAAAAAGCTTCAATACTACTGTGTGTGTTGCTGCTCCCAAGCTCTTGTCCACGCGTTACGTCCCCCCCCCCCAAGTTGAAGTTACTCTCTGATGTTGTTCTGTGTAACTTGTCAGGTGCTTGACTTTTGTGTTCAGTCTGACAGCACGGTCGAGAGAGTCTGGAGGAGAGAGTGAGGAAGGACTAGTTGAGAGGATCTCAGATTAAGGTCACCTATGTAATAACTGACCTTGTCTGTTTTCACTGAAAAGGTCAACATGTGCGAATAAGTAGTTATTTCTTCACATATAACCTGTTTATCACAATATTATGATTTGTTTCACACCCAAACTAAGAGATAACACAATACAGTGGTTTGTTTCACACCTAAACTAAGAGATAACACAATAAAATGATTTATTTCACATTCATACTAAGAACTAACACAACCAATTTTTTTTTAATTTTACACCTAAACTCTTAAATGGAAAAACAAGATATTTCAAACCCTAACTAGTGTTGGACATAAAGAAGCTCCCCAGTGGCACAGCGGTATGTCTGCGGACTTACAACGCTAGAAACCGAGTTTCGATACCCGTGGTGGGCAGAGCACAGATAGCCCTTGTGTAGCTTTGTGCATAATTACAAACAAACAGACATAAAGAAATAAATATGATTTAATTCCTGAATGATCCCCGAGTTAGTTACAACTCTGATTTAAACCCTCGAAGTTTATTGAGGGTGTATATATAAATCGTAAACAACTTAATTCTAGGGTTCATAACTTCAGCCCACAGCAGTAATCACAGTTGCGGGCTGAAATAATAAAAGTCTTACCATTATATTCATGGATTGTTGGGGGGGTTGAAGTCACAGGAACTGTCAGCCACATGAATTCATCGTGGGGGTTGCTTGAGGTAATACAGTGTTCATCAAGTGACCTTGTAGCTCATGGGGGGAGGATTACTTGTTTTTATAAATCAAATTCATGACGTTTTCTCAATCTTCCTAAACCCTTGGTCATTAAATCTTTCCCGTTAGTTAATCCAAAAGTTTTTAAATATAAGTTTCAACCTTAAATATAAGTTTCAACCTTTAATATAAGTTTCAACCTTTAATATAAGTTTCAACCTTTAATATAAGTTTCAACCTTAAATATAAGTTTCAACCTTTAATATAAGTTTCAACTTTTAATATAAGTTTCAACCTTTAATATAAGTTTCAACCTTTAATATAAGTTTCAACTTTTAATATAAGTTTCAACCTTTAATATAAGTTTCAACCTTAAATATAAGTTTCAACCTTAAATATAAGTTTCAACCTTTAATATAAGTTTCAACCTTAAATATAAGTTTCAACTTTTAATATAAGTTTCAACTTTTAATATAAGTTTCAACCTTTAATATAAGTTTCAACCTTAAATATAAGTTTCAACCTTTAATATAAGTTTCAACTTTTAATATAAGTTTCAACCTTTAATATAAGTTTCAACCTTTAATATAAGTTTCAACCTTCTAAATAAGATGCTATAAAGTATAATCTTAAAGGAATCTTGGGGCAAGACAAGTAGGAACATTTAAATCTTGGGCAAGACAAGCATGAATATTTAAATCTTGGGGGCAAGACAAGCAGGAATATGTTAATATTACGGTAAGACAAGTAGGAACATTTAGATATTACGGTAAGACAAGTAGGAACATTTAAATCTTGAGCAAGACAACTAGGAACATTTAAATCTTGGGCAGAACAACTAGGAACATTTACATTTTGGGGCAAGACAAGTAGGAACATTTAAATCTTGAGCAAGACAAACAGGAATATCTAAATCCTGGGCAAGACAACTAGGAACATTTAAATTTTGGGCAAGACAAGCAGGAATATTTAAATATTACGGTAAGACAAGTAGGAACATCTAAATCTTGGGCAAAACAACTAGGAACATTTAAATTTTGGGGCAAGACAAGTAGGTAAAATAAATATTTGGGCAAGACAACCAACAACAATATTTAGTTTTATACAGTTAGGATGGTTGCTCCGGTGGGACAGCGATAAGGTTACGAATTTCCATCTGTAAAATCCAGGGCTCGAATCCCGCATTGGACACAGCAGATAGCCCAAAAAGGCTTTGCTCTAAAAACGAATAAATTTGAAACACTTAACTTGCGCTTTTCCAAACAAGCGGGTAAATAAACAAACATTTGGTTTTTTCCAAAAATATAATTTCTAATGTCACGTGAATAAGAAACACAGTCAAATAATAACAGCTTGGCGTTACTCTCATTGGATCGTTTTTATCCACGTGCTGTAATACGGTACAACACTAGCGATCAGGAAATGTTTCTAATGTATACTGATATATATAGAATTGTTTGTCTGTAAAAGTTACAGGCTGATAAAACCTTGAAATGCCCCCATTTCTCGGAGCGCCGGTCGCACGTGATACACTGACGCCATAGCTGTAGTTTGAGCCAAGTCACGTGGTTGGCGAGGTGTGTCGATAAGTTAATAAATTGCCGCCGTTTGGGCGGAACTGACCGTCAGTCCATAGGTAAGCTTCGGCGGGAATTCCTTAACCCACCTGTATAATTATTCGTTGTATCGGGCGAAAAAAGATGAACTTAAAACGTAGGACTGATGAATATGCTCGTGGTTTGAATATATGTAGAATGAGTAACGTGCACATATAAACATATTTGACTCTTCCCTCTTCCCCCAAGGGACGATTTACATGTTGGTATGTTTTATCAGACATTAAAACATAGGACTGATGAATATACACGTGATTTGAATATATGTAGGATGAGTAACGTGCGCATATAAACATATTTTACTCTTCCCCCAAGGGACGACTTACATGTTGGTATGCTTTATCAGACATTACCCTCAGGCTAAGTGGCCCACTCCTGACACCCTATGTTGTTTCCCAGGTGATTAGTCATGGAACTGCCCCAGATACTTGAGACATTTCAAAGTAACTCTGCTGTAATTTCGTTGTATAAAAACGTAATCAAACAGAGATTAAGTATAAAACAATATATATAAATGAATACGACTCTATACGGCGGTTTCTTTGTTTGTCTTCAGTATTTAACTTTTCTCCCTTTTAAACTGGACTGATGAAAAAGATTTCAGGAAAAAAAATGTCTTTCTGTCGAGATTCGGCTAAAACGTAGTGGAAGACATTATATGAAAACAGAAATTGTAGTTTTGTAGTAGAGTTTTTCAACAGTTTTATAACTACTGTATAGAGTCTTTTCACTTGTGAGAAACAGTGAAACTACGTATATTCAATCTAGAGAAAAGGAAAGGCTTAATTGTTCTAATTTCTCAAACATTCTTCGGGAAAAACTGTATTGGAAAGCTTTAATCAAGCCAAAAATTTATTTATTTTAACTTATTTAGCGGGGTTTTAGCTGTTTGTTTGTTTTGGATTTCGTGCAAAGCTACACTAGGGCTATCTGCGCTAGCCGTTCCTAATTTAGCAGTGTAAGACTAGAGGGAAAGCAACTAGTCATCACCACCCACCGCCAACTCTTGAGCTACTCTTTTCACCAACGAATAGTGGGATTGACCGTGACATTAAAAACGCCCCCACGGCTGTTTGGTGTGACGGGGATTCGAACCCGCGACCCTCAGGTTGCGAGTCGAGCGTCCTAACCACCTGGCCATGGGTTTTAGCTGACGTATATACCACGTTAGGTCACAATCGGTCCAACTGTTCGCCAATTATAAACGGACACAAACACACAGGATTTTATCAAATAATAGTTTACGATAATTTACATAGAAATGTGTTTTGAAGCTTTTTTTTTTCTCTATAAATCTTTGCTTGTAACTCCTTCCATAACTCTTCTATCTTATAACTCAAGTTTTAACTGGTTATGAAGCGCCCTCTATAACAATCAGTCTTTTTATCTTATACTGTAAATCTTATGTCAACGATATCTCAGACGCTTGTCTACTTTAGATGTTGTATTAACCACGCGCGAGGCTTAATGAATTCCTTGTCAAGCGTACCTCAGAGGTAAGTCTGCAGGTTTACGTCGCTAAAAGTCGGGTTTCTATTCCCGTTGTGACAGAACGAGGATATCCCATTGTGCAGCTTTGTGCTTATAAACAACCAAATAATCAGTTCCTAGTGTTTAGTAATTTTGTCCATCATTTACATTCACACATATTTAAAACACTAGGTGGAGCTTCTGGTGGTGATCCTAAGTTTCTAAACAGATCAGTAACAGACGATAAAAACAGGTCGCTTTCTTTCAGTATATTTCAGACGAGATTAGGGTTAGAAAGAAAGAAAGCATTTTTGTTCATCACGAATGTACTCGCGAGCAGATAGGCTTAGCGGTATCGAGCTCAGAACAAATGGAAAACTTTAGAAATCCTGGCGTCAGTGATGCGTGGGCTTCCAACCCACTGCTATTCATGTTGCTAGCGAGATTCTTAGGGGGCAGGCAAACCTTACAGTGTTGGCTTTCTGTTTGCTACCCTACATCCCCCTTCTTAATCTAGTTCTCCCTACCTGTCGTGACGCGCAAGAACTTTACAACCTGCCCTGTAGGTGGCATAGCAGGTAGATGTAGCCCATCAAACAGGCAGCTTTATCAGCAAAGCCCAGAGGGGCTAGAAGACCAGTGATCTCACTCTAAGGAACTTCGAACGACCGTACAGTTCGAAAGCATTTCTGTGTGTGTTTTATTTGTTATATCTGCATGAAACTAGACTTATTTGTCAGTGTTGCGTGTTTGTTTGTGATCAGAACTGAACAAAATGGCGCAGCTTAGTCCTCTGGCACGAACTAACAGCTCGTCGCATCGTAAGGGAGAACCTCTGGAGGAAAACAACGAGGTTAAGCGTCATCCGTCCACTGGTCAAGACATCAAGAGTGAAATGTCCTTCGACCTTGTAGAATCTCCAGAGGTGGGTTGAATTATATTCGTTCTTTTGTTGTTAAGCTGTACAATGGGCTATCTATGCTCTGCCCACAACAGGTATCGAAACCCAGTTTTTAGCATTATAAGCCTTCGAACTTACCGCTGCGAGGCGGGTTTAATTAAAAACTTTAAATTCTTTCAACAAAACAAACGGGATTGCTAAGTAACCGTGCGTTGTTTTCACTTCTCAAATGTGTGAAACCTAAACGCCTTGGTTGATACTTCTCTATTTTACAGGATTTTTTGTTTGTTCACAGGTCTTTCTCAATCTAGTGACACAAACAGATACAGTCAGAATGAAAGCTTAAAGTCCCCTTTACTTTCTTACCATCAACGTTGTAAATCCGAAAGTTCGTGGCTCGCGTCCTGTTGCTACAAAAAACGCGCTCCGAATTTTGGGGCCGTGAGTGTGTTATCAGAGTGACGGTCAAATTGGTCAGACAATACTAGCCTAAGAATAGCCAGTGGGTGGTGTTGGCTAGCTGCCTTCCCTCTAGTCTTCGGTCCACTATCAAGGATGACTAATGTAGCTTTGTTCTGAAACTAACAAACAATTCTCGCCACCAGCAAGGTTTTTGAACTCGGTGGAATGAACGCCTTCTAGTAGCCTTCAGCATCGCCTACATTTGACTTCAGTAATGAGCTGAGTACGGTGATAGGTTTCAACATGGCAGCCTTAGGGTTTTTAACTTGCTTGTGTTTTTATCATGGATTTTATAACGTTGTGAGGCATTATATGACGTTGTCGTATACTGACAGTTTGTTAGTGTTTTTTTTACAGCAGAGCCACATTGAGCTATCTACTGTGTATATCTCGGGGGATCGAACCCAGGATTTTAGCGTAGTAAATTCGTAGATTTACCGATGTCCCACCGGGGGGGGGGGGCGTATACTGTAAGAATGTTGAACTATTGAGATCGTTAAACTGAAGTTTTTAACTTGTTTGTTTGTTTTCCGAATTTCGCGTGAACCACCCCTAGAACTATCTGTACCAGCAGTCCCTAATTTAGAAGTGATAGGCGAGAGGGAAGTCGTCACCATCACTGCCAGCACTTCCGCTACTCTTTTTCCAACGAATATTGGGATCGACCGTACTTTAATGCCTCTACGGATAAAAGGGCGAGCATGCGGGTTATGGGATTCGAACCCGCGACCTTCAGGTTGCGAGTTGAGTGCCCTTACTATTGTTTGTTTGTTTTATAATATTAATGAGAATCGCTAATAAACAGTTAGTCAACAGCACCCTCCGCCATCTCTTGGGCTACTCTGATCGAATAATTTGATTTTACCGTCATCCAAATTTGCCCAAAACAACATCAAAAATAGATAAAAATGTTTCCAGGTGGAAAACTGATCAAATTTATGATCACTTCCTTACAGGTCAGTAGAAACGTGAATTTAATCAAATTTATGATCACTTCCTTACAGGTCAGTAGAAACTTTGAATTTAATCAAATTTATGATCACTTCCTTACAGGTCAGTAGAAACGTGAATTTAATCAAATTTATGATCACTTCCTTACAGGTCAGTAGAAACTTTGAATTTAATCAAACTTGTGATCACTTCCTTACAGGTCAGTAGGAACTTTGAATTAATGAAACTTGCGATCACTTCCTCACAGATCTGTAGAAACGTGAATTTAATCAAACTTGTGATCACTTCCTTACAGATCTGTAGAAACGTGAATTAATGAAACTTATGATCACTTCCTCACAGATCTGTAGAAACTTTGAATTTAATCAAACTTATGATCACTTCCTTACGGGTCAGTAGAAACGTGAATTAATGAAACTTATGATCACTTCCTTACAGGTCAGTAGAAACTTTGAATTTAATCAAACTTGTGATCACTTCCTTACAGGTCAGTAGAAACGTGAATTTAATCA